CCTCCCCATCCCACTGGCAGGGGAGGAGTGAGGGAACAGCTTCATGGTGCTTTGTTGCCGGCTGGGCTTAAACCACAACAGACCCGAGTCTCTCATCGCTGGCTTTGAACACGAGGGGTAAATATACTGTCCTAAGTGGAATTATGCTTGAATACAATTGGTAGGTGACATGGACTAACTTCAGATCCTCTGGTTCTGTTCAAATCTGTTTAGGAGGTTAAAAATAAAAGAGAAAGATCAGGCCAATTTTTTTTGTTTGTTTTTAAATTTCAGCAGCATTTTAACTGAGCAAAATAGAAACCAACGCACAAAGAATCTGTGTTTGCCTTTACAGCAGTTGGTGTCTCTGTCTGCTTGGAGGTGGAGAACAAATCCTGAGGGCACAGGCCAGTGTGGGTGCCTCAGGGAGCTGTGATGGGAAAGTCGTTGTGCAGGTGTGGCAGCAGCTGTGGATCAGCATCACAGATAACTGTATTTGCTAACACCTGATTTCCAAGATGTGCTTAGTGCTGCCTTGCTACTGAGGTATCATCAAGCAGTGTTTGGTCATTCTAGCTTATCTTTGGGTTTGCTGAGACTATGTCGGATCACAGTACTTCTATAGTTCAAACGTGCAGATGAAGGCAGATCTGGAAGGGGCCTCAGCTAGATTCTGGTGTTGGCTGCTGTAACAACTATTACTATTGATTTAAGAATGATTCTAACATGAATATTTTGTCTGATGTACTGAAAATCCATGGATTCATGTGAATCCCATCAAAGTCCATACTGACTTGGAAGACCTTTAGCACATGAATCCATGGCCTCATCTTCTCACCCAGCTGCTATCACACCAAAACTGCACCATGACCCCCAGATACCCAGAACCCAAAAGTGAACTGAGTAGCTTATCAGTCAAAATATTGCACATAGAGTCATATTTTTTCAGAGTAGGGTGGAATATCTTCTGTCTGAGAGCTCTTCAATACTTCCTGTTTGTAAAAGTGAAAAAAACTAAGCGTTGTTCTGGTAGGCACATCAAGGCAATACAGCTGTAATGTGCAAGCATGTTTTTTTTCTCAAGCAGAATCAGCAAAACACTTGGCTAAGTTGCAATAATCAGATCTTCATTACTGGTGTTGCTTTCAGGAGACAGAATGGATGTGGCTTGACCTTTTGGCTGACTCAGGCTGAATTTGCAGTGGTAACAGAGAAATCTTTTCACTTATAAGATGAATAGCAAATTTGTTATGGAGAAAAGGTTGGGAAAGAAAAAATACAGAAACAGAAGGTGCTGGTTTTATAAAATAATTCTTTAGTGTTTAAATATATCAGGGTTTGGGGACTTGTTATTATAATTAAAACAAACAAGCAAACATAAAAGGCAGAAAACTATTTGGCTTTCCAGTGCATACTGAGCTGATGGTGGAAAAGGTCCTCAGCCCACAAATCCAGCAGGGAATACAAATGATTGATGGTGAAAGCTTAGATCATCCACTTTAAGTGTGATTGGCGGTGTTCCTGGCAAATGTCTGGAACTCAGCAAGCTGGGAATGAGAAATGCAAAGTACTGACAAATGGCCATCTGCATTTCTCTAGTTTTTTAATCTTTCTTCAGAGGTAAGGTGAAATATATAAAGCCTGGAGTTATATGTAAAAAGAGGCTTTTGACTCAGTTTCTCTAATGCAGCCATTACACTTTGCCAACCACCTTCTGACACACCTGTAAGTCTCATCTTACTCTTCTTGCTTCCCAGTTACAGATGTTTTTGATAAAACACCCACTTAATCTGCCTTTTTTTTTTTCCTTCCTTTTTCCTGAGTGATTGATCTTACTTTATGGAGAACATATAAACGAAGGGAGATGGTATGCAGTTCCTTGTTATGTTTAAGATTATTGTTCTAATCCAGTGCAGGTACTCCTGGGTGGAATTTTAATTCCTGCTTGCTATAAAGACTTGCTACTGCTCCTTTTTTCCCCCCATTTTTCTGTGAATGCCAAACACAAATTTTTTAAAATCTGACAATCTAGATTGATAGTTTTGGTGTGCATCATTTAGAAAATGCACTTGACAGAAAGCAACCAGTGTGATGCTTGCACGTGTGCCTTGCTTTGGAAATCGAACTGTAATGTAGGATTGACTTTTTACTAGATACTGGCTGTTAACTCAATGAACTTCAAGAAATTCTTAATGATAGAAAACAGTACAACTTCTTGTTTTAGCCTGGTTTGTCTTTTTTAAAAAAATTGAGGCTTCTGTGGTCTGACTCAGTCTGTGGTTCATGTGTTGCTTTTCTCTGTTTTGGTTTGTCTCAGTGGGCACCCGCAGACGTAGCTCCTTCATGGGCTGCTCTTGTCACCAGAGGGAAGCGGCTCCCTGGGGTGGCAGGAAACTGCAGGAGGGGGAGTTTTTCAGGAGTTACAAATAACAAGGGAAAAACGGGGTTGCTGCCACAGGTGAAGAACACAGTTGTGTCTTTCTGTGTTACGTTGAAAGCAGAATTATATGTTAAAAAGAGTGAGATGTAACTAACTTCTGCTGTATGCCTTTTCATATGCAGGCAAAGCAGCACCATGCTGTTTGTACTTGCATTCTACTGATTATTCTTCATGTTACTGTGGGGCAGTAAAATAATTGTTGTCATTTTAAGGTAGGGAAACTTGTCTGGAGATGTTAAGAAACACGCTTAGAAACGAGCTAGAATTCCTCTCCCTTACGCTTGGACTAGCAGCTCTAACTGTTGCTCATCAGTGATGGCACATTTCAATGCTTGATAGATTCCAGAACGTTAATTAAAACAGTTGTTTAGCTAATTGCCTGGAAGATTGCAAGTAAAAGCATATTTATTCCAAAGGCAAACAATCCATTTTTACCCAGTGAAGCATATCAGTTTTTATGGTGCATAAAAATTGTTTTACTTCAATTTTGAATATATTGTGCGTTTGTCTGTCTAAAGGCCTTGTAGATGATGATCTATTTTAAGTGCATGGAAGCCTTTTTTCTTAGGCCATTTTTAATGTGTCTACTAAAAAAGTGTATGTTTAAATAAATGAAAGTGTGAAAAGTCATTACCATTAAAATGAAAAGTTGCTTACTGCATGGGGCTATTGGACTACCACCATGCTTACTGATACGCAGCCTTTGCAGTATTTCTGGATGTTGGTACTGTCCTATATAAAGAGACTAGAGGTGGAAGGAAGGGTATCATTATGGTGCCTTTGCCTAACTTTGTGGGGAAAAAATGTGCATATCGAGCAGGTGGTTTCAGTGTATATATGCATTTAAAATGGAAATATAGTCTATGCTCCTCCAAAGTGTTCAGGGACTAAACTGGTCCCTAGCAGGTGGACTGCAATAGGGCTTTTGTGGAAGACTGGGGGCACATCAGTCTGAACCACAACTTACTGCACTATGGCATAGATTACCATCAGGCTGATAGCTTCTCCTCAAAGAGAAAATGCTTATCATCTAATGGAAGAGATTACATAATGGTGGAAGTGCAGCTCAAGGGCTGAAATGGGAGTTCTGGGTTTAATTTAGAAGTTTTCTTGATCTCTTTACTCATGATGGTTGTCTTGACTTTCATATAGACTCTCATACATGACTATTTATTTATTTATTTAGGGAATGAAATCTAAAAGGGCCTGGGTGAAGTCAATAAACTAATATATATTTTGATGCTTTGGCTTTAAGAATTGCTACGGGCAAAGTATTACTTGTAAGACAAGGGACCATCTTGTCCATCCCTACCACAACTTGATAGACACTGTGAACGTATTTCTTCGTTGTTTGTGTTAAAAGTGATGTGCAGTGGTGATATAACACAGCAGAGGTTTAAGAGGAAAATACCATTCAAAACAAAAACAGTGCAGTTTTTCATTATCTAAGGTAACAACTAAATATTCTTATCTTGTTATCATTATATGTCAGAAAACAGAAAAAAAAAAAAAAAAGACCATTACTCCTTAAAGGAGCTTGTAACTTTCTCCTAAACACTCCCTTTGGTGCCCAGCCTAAGCTGGAATATAACCAGTGAAATCCTGACTGGGGGCTGCTCCTCAGGCAGATTTTGGTATACTTGTTCTGTGTTGTAGTGCCTAGACTGGTGTAAATGCCTTCATTTCAATATTCCTCAGTAGGGACTTCACTGGCTGCCCCAAGCTCATAGACGCAGGCACATGGGAAGGTTGTAAAGAAATGGCCATGTTTTCTTTCTTCCAGGGTGTAACAGCTAAATATTCTTGCCTTGTCAGTATTATCTTGGTGATAACTAGCATGTACTCTTCTTGTTTTGGACTATGTTGTTACCTTAAACCTCTGCTGTATTATATTGGGACACACACGCACAACTACTAAAGATTTTCTTGAGAATCTTACCAGCTGAAAAGCATTAGAGCCACCAGAGTTGAGAGATCTGCTCTTTCGTACTGTTGTAAAGACAGACTTTTCTGGCAATGATCTAGCAAACTAGGGCAAACTTACTTTAATATTGATGTATGGTAGTGTTTCATTACACTCTGTAACTGCACTGATATATTATACAAGATGGTTTTATTGACACAATGGTGGGTAATTGTTACCCAGATTAAGAAAACTCAACAACATAGATGTGAGAAACAAATCCTTTGCATGCCAGTTAAAAGAAGAAAGGGAAAAAGCATTTCCTCTTAATTAATCTCTTTGAAAGGGATCAGAACAGAACATGAACCAAGAATGAACTGTTTGTCTTGATTTTTTTAGAGGAAAACCTTTACTGATATTTAAAGGGGACTTGTCACATGAAACACTTTTGATTGTGGTTTATTCTTACGAAATTTTACTGGGCTGTTGTAATTAAGAAAGAGATAGTGGAAAAGGTTATCAATGACATATTTCAAAGATTATTTTTTTTCCAGACAGAATTTTTTTCTGACTACATAAAATAGAAGAACCTTGACTGCGTAAATGAGATATATGTTCTTTTATATTTTTGGTGGAAATAGTACCATTATTGAAAGCAATGCTGCTGCTTTTCTCTAGGCAAAGGAGACGTTTTTGGTGATGTGTTCTGGAAGGAGTCTACCCTCGCCCAGTCCTGTGCTAATGTAAGGGCTCTGACTTACTGTGATCTTCATGTGATTAAGAGAGATGCCTTGCAGAAAGTGCTGGAGTTCTATACGGCCTTTTCACACTCCTTCTCCAGAAATCTCATTTTGACCTACAACTTGAGAAAAAGGGTAAGTAGCTTTGATTTTAACATGCACCATACAAATGATCACTTTTAAGGACCGTCTGTATGAAAAAACAGAATTGCTTGAATTTTGGCATTCTTCATAGCCTCTCTTATAAGAAGGTTTTTCAGAGCTTGCCTAAAAGACACTGCTAGCATGTAGGTTTAAAAAGCTATAAGTATTTCTTTCAGTGCTAGTTTTATAGAGAGCTGGATTGAGTATATGTGAAAGTATTTTACATTTCTATGAAGTGGACAGATTCCAGCATATTTGCGAACTGTCATGCACTTGTGATAAACAGCGTTCACTACTTTCTGCAACTTTAGTTTGTAAAGCAGCTAAAAAGATGTTAGGGGCGTTGCCCGAAGTTACAAGGAAAGTGGAGGGAAAGGTATGAAATCTAATATATGGAACAAAAGTCTACAACAGTAGTCACAATGGAAAAGTAATATGAACATGACTGATTCTATCAAGAGTTGTTTCTTTTAGTATCAATCACATTTTGGAATTACTTTGCTTATCTATAATGTTTCCATTTTCTTATCCTTGATTTTTTTGGCTCTTTTAATTTCTTCCTGCGTGCCAGTTCAAGTTATTTTGTCAAATGCGAATCATCATAACCTAATATCCCATTTTAAATTCTCTGTGTAATCTTCAGTGAACCACCTCTGCAGATATTTATTAAAACTGTAGTAGGTATAATTCAGTTGATATGATTTTAAGATGCAATGTAGAAGACAATAATATTACATTGAAAGTAAATACATGGGAGCACCAATATTTGCTTGAAAATATTATGATATAAAGATACTTGAGATCAGCAAAAGAAACCCTTCTATAGATTTATTAAATGATTTTGTTGTTGTTGTTGTTCCTAAAAACAGTTCTCCATGGTAACTTCTAGGTGCCAAGTAAGTCCTAGATAATTACACCTGAAAAAATAGAAACCTTTTCATCTTTGAAGTCTGTTTTGTAAAATTAGGCTTTAAGCCTAGAGTATTGATATTTTTTATTATTATTAATTTTTGTACCTAGAATTGGCACACTGAAATTAAAATAGTGTGATGATGTTTTCTATCTGCATATGTTATCAATATCAAAGAATTCAGCTTTTCAGTATTGGGCAAAGAAGAATGTGCTATCCACACTTTGGTCAAATAAATCAAAGCTCTAGTAGAAAATAAAGGTAATTAAAAACTAGGAAGCAAATTTGTACTTGAGGATTTTCTCATAGGACATTTTTTTCAAATGACATTATGTTCCTGAAGGACAAGGAAAAGATATACAGCTGCAAGAAGATTAGGAGAAATGTCCTGTTAAAAACTAAGTTTAAAAACCAGCTACTTACCTGGTGTTAATTAATGTAAGAAATAAAATAAATTAAAGAATTTGGTATTGAGATCACCTAAAGCATCGGTATAACTGACTGACATTTGTTAAAGTAAGACTGTGGGTAATGTGGTAAGATGGTCTAACTACTTTTGTTTTTTTAACATCAGTAGAAATGACAAACTTTGAGGCATAGAAGGACCAACTCTCTTAAAGCTCACAGTAACGCTAGCAGAGTCGCATCATTTTGGATCTGCTCTGAGCCAAAAGTCCAGATTTTAGAATCAAATGGCTGCTCCAGAAGTGACACTCTTTCCCTCCATGTTCATCAGTGTAGTTTTTCCCAGCCCAGGTTACAAAACACTTTTTAACCACAGTATTGTAATTCCTGTGCTGTCAATTTTCTACACAAAATGTTCCTAATAAAAAGGTGCGTTTTATGATAGCAATTTTCATACAGATATTCAAATAATTGGATTTTAATTGAGTTGCAGTCAGCAGAAAATTGGCGTTGATTGATAATGGAAGTAACGGTTTGATGGTTCTAGGTTAACGGACTGTAATTTTATTTATTTTGTTGAAAGAAGGCTGATTACAATCTGAATGCAAATGCTAAATAATGTAAATACTATATACTTTCAGAAATGCATAGAAGGTATGGTACTTTAGAGATTGGAGATAATGCACATTAAAAGGCAACTCTTTGGAGTTTGGAATTTAATCTGGTTTAAATATCTGTGAATCTTTTATAGAAATAGCTCCTCGGCCTGTCACTTCTAACACTTCTAGTCTATTTCTGCAAATGGAATTTTGTAGAATTCAGATGAACCGGTACCTTCTGTGAGTTACGTTTGTAATGTATTGCATATCCTTTGGAATATAAATACCAGAATTGCACTTCTCACTTCAATAAACAGTTTCATCTCTGGCTCCAAACTTGTTCAACTAGTTGAAGTGTAGATACTGTATATTCATCCCAAATATATCCATACAGATTCCAAATACATGAAAAAGCAGCTTTGGGGATTTTTTTGCCTGAAGGATCTCATGGGTATATTTTTAGACTTGGTTATTCCTCTGAGGTGTCCCCAACTCCAGGGTGCATGTGCCTTCACTTGGCCATGGTACTGAGTCTCACTGCATAGTGCAAGGCGCTTTCTAGCCAGGTTTCCCTCCGCTTAAGCGACCTTTAGCGTTGGTCCTCTCTTTCACCATGTTCACGTATTCCTTGGCTGCTGGGTCTCCTCCAGTGATCCCTTCCCTCGTGGATATGGGACTCCCTGTCCCAGACCCTTCGGTGCCAGAGAGCAGTGCTCATCGCAGAGATGTCCCCCACGCTTGCTGGAGCCTGGATCCACTTGCTAATGACTGTGACAGAGATAAGCAGACATGCAGATGCCTTGTAAGGTACCAAACCCAATTGGTCTTGACCTTAGGTAACTCTAGAGCTGGATTTAGGCAAAGTAAAAAGCATCTTCCCTCCGTTCCTTGTGCTGCTCTTCCTACCAGTCTTGAATGTGCTTTAAGCTGAGCTGGGAGGGAAGGACGCTTCTGTCTGTGTGTCCCCCTTATGCCCTCTCTAGAACAGGGCCACAGTTATGAAATGTTACTGCCTGTGACATCTGAGGAAGTCGTGGCCAAGGGAGCTACTTCCAGTCCTCTGTTCCTGGCATGCCATGGCTGGCTGGCTGTGCTGTGAAAACAGTTTCCTTTCACTCACTTTCTCCACAAACTGGTGAAATATCCTCTTTTCTAAAATTGTCAGCTCACTGTTAGGTGACTCCCCGAGCAGTTCCTCCAGCTACTAAAATCCCTCCTGAAGTTATTAGCTGTCTAGTTGCCTCTGGCTGGAGCTCAGACTTGGAAAACTTTTTATTTTTCCTAAAGGTGAAGAGAACGGAGATCTTTTAATTAACTCTTTCTGCTGCTAGTCATTGAAATCTTCATCTAACTGGAAGCAGGGGGAGAATCAGCTGCCGCATCTCTCTCTCTAACATCTTAAGAAACCAGAACTGCAGTCTGTGGCTGCAGGTGGCTGTATGTCAGACTCGAGGGCTTTGCAGCTGAAAGGAAGCTGACAGAGGGTTTCTCAGAGCACTTCCTTCTGTAACAATGTTGTGAAATTAAAGCAGGTTGACTTGATGTTTCTCTCCATTTTTGGAATCTCAGAGAGGAACCAAAGTGTAGACACTGGGGGTGTGTGGGATGGTCAAGTGACAAACTCACCCCTATGGAAGGTGTGCTAGATGAAAGAGAATATTGCAGGTTTGGAGGGCAGCAAGATTCACAGGCTGGATGGAGGTCTATTTTTTTCCCAACAGATATTTAAACATTTCTGGGTTTCCAGCCTGGACTTCATAGCTCCAGGATGGTAGAAGGGTAATAAGAGAGAAGCTTGCGTGATAGATCTTTAGTTGTCTTTTGCTTGTGATGAGGTGCAAGTTTGCTGGCACCTTCTTTATGAACGTGAAAGGCCTTGGGCAGCGCTTGCAAGTGTTCTGGTTTTACCAGTTGCTTCTTTCCATGTGTGTGAGCTTTGTGACCAACACTAACTTACACTGTTGTACCACAGTGTATTTGCTCAGTTCATTCTGCTGCAGCCATAAATGATGTAGCTCAAATGGTCGCACACGCTACATAAAAGAGAGAATTCTCATACGTAATTTATTAAGCTGAGATTTCTCTAGTAAGCCATTTTAGCCTGGATAGAGATTAAATGACTAATTCTGAATACTTTGGAGTATCATGATAGAAAGTGCAAGTAGCTTTTCCAGAAGCTGAAATTTGTGCCCTGGAATAAAAGAAGTAATGCAGTAGGATGTAGAAATGTTATTTGGGATTTTGTAAGACTGAAAAAAATGGCAAAGAACACCCTGCATTTTTACAAAGCAAGCATGATTTAGTGATTTAAAGCCAAAGCTCCTAGTCAGAACCTATTTCTTGAGAGAGCAGCGATTGCAACGAAGTAGTCTGTCTCCCTGCCTGTGTAGGATTGCTTGCTTTTGGACGTGTAGTGGTATGCTTATTCTATGCCATTCCAACTGTGCCAGTGGACATGGCTTCCACCACCTCTTTGTAAAAGCAATTTAAAAATATAATTGTGCTTTCCTCTTCAGCATTAGCTTCACCTTTTTTCTTTTTATACTGTAAGCTCTAACTAGAGAGAGAACCTCTCTCAGATCAAACATTTCAGTTAGGAGTGCTTCCAGCCTTGATTTTAAATCTCGGAGGGCTTGGCAGCAGGTTGCTTTCAGAGAGGCAATCCATAGCCTTGTATTCGGCCTTTCCACATGACAAGTTTTCCAATTCTTTTTCATGATACAGGTTCAAAATGGTATTCCAGAATTCTTTCTGATATGGAAGGCTGAATTGCTGGAAGATTTTAACAAAACTTTCTTAAAATAAGAAGAGTGAAAGGTTTTAACTTTAGAATATTGGCCCATTTGATGATAGATTTCAGAATGGTCAAACTGACAGCCTGTTTCTTTCTCCTGTGCTTGTACTCACCAAAACAATGCCACAAGTCATGTGGGAAGAGGGTTTTAATGCTTGACTGGCATGCATCTTACAGCACTGAAAACCCAGGACACTGGGCATGACTGAGATGTCTGGACGGGTCTGTGGCTTGGAAGTTATGCCATATTAGCTGGCAAGGAGGCAAAGCTGTCATTTTCCAA